TCTGCTGGAGTCTCCTGATGCTAGGACCTCTTGTTGGGGACTTTTCATTCTGTGCCTTTCTTCTTTGCATTTTAAATTCCTTCAAGGACAAATTAACAAAATCTCTAACCAAACTTTCAATTAGTTCCTCCTCAGGGATTACCAGCTACTTGCCAATGAGCTGGACAACACTTACGTCCACTCATACTGAAAAGCCTCCAAGTGCTGAAAGATGAAGATACCAAATGACAACTCCACCGAAGGGCCATCTCTACCCCACCATTCCAAAGAAATAAGCCCTTGGTTTTTAGCCATATATGTTCTAATCTGCCTTCTCCTGAGCATAGGTCTTTTTATCTACCAGCCCTGGATGACATGCCAGAAATTAATGCTGTCTCTTTTGTTCCTTTTCGTAGCTGCAGGTTTGTGGCTTGCACTGTACCTCTGATCCTCCTCTTAGTGAAGATGACACCTGTTACCCTCCGATGCATGCAATTCTTACAAGCCCTATGGGAAGATAGTTGGCTTATCTCTCCCCCTGGGCCACCCCAGTGAATGGCTCATTATACACAACAATTTGTGGTTGCAGGGCACATTCATGGACTTCTCCCCGGAGGAAATCCATGCTTTCAGCGCATGGATATGGGGCCTCCTGGCCCTCCTTCTCCAACCAACTGACCTCCCTCCCTCTAAACAACACCCTACTCAGCAGGAAGAAGCCAGAACTAGTATGATGCCTCCAAACCAAAACAAAAAAGGGAGGAATGTTGGCAAAGATGGCGCCCAAAGTGCATCTCTTCCGGGAGTTCAGGTCCATGATGCACTGAATGGCGTGAACTACCATCTAAGTGGCATGAACCATCACCTCCAATCCCTGAAATGGCATGAACTGTGACCTCCCACCCCTAGGAGACTCATACCCTATCCTGCCCAGAAATGGACCCTTGGCCAATAAAAAAGTAACAGCCCACTCCCCCTGCTCATTCTCTCTCTCTCCCCCCCACTTCTTCTCTTCTGTGACCAGCTGCTACATTCCCACTAATAAAATCTTGGACAGGTAAATGGTTGTTTGGCTTGTTGAATTTACGGAGCTTTTCCACCGCTCCTTACAGTTACCAGAGATTGAACCGAGGGGTACTTAACCTACTAAGCCACATCCCCAGCCCTTTTTACTTTGAGACAGGGTCTCTAAATTGCTGAGGCTGACCTTGAACTTGTGATCTCCTGCCTCAGCCTCCTGAGATCCCGGGATTACGGCTGTGCCAGGGCACCAAGCCAGATTCGGTAATTCTTCATTAATGCTGTATTTATGATTTCTCTTTTTTTCCTTCCTGTGTGCCTTCTCTTCCCTGCTTTTCTTCTTTTTGATGGTGGTGGTCAGGGGAGCATTTTTTTTTCCTGTGGTGCTGGGGATTGAACCCAGGGGGCTGTGCATCAAGGCAAGCACTCTACCAACTGAGCTATGTCCCCAACCCTGTTGTTTTAAAAGATCTGGTTCTAGATGTTTTTAACCACTCTACATGCTTGTTTGATGTTCCCGCTGAACTCTAGTCACCTTGGCCTCCCAGCTCCATCTTCTTGAGTCAATTCTGTCACGTGCCTCCTGGTGCCAGTGGGTGGAGTTTTTTCTAGCTTCACCTTGATACAGCGGGGATAGTTCTTTGGGGCTGCAGCTTCCACTGCCACCCTAGAATCACCCCAACTTCATCATCTCTGCAGAGGCTGTAAGCAGACCTCACAGCTGCCATAGCACCAGTTTCCAGGCGTGGCACTCTGAGTTTCTTTATTTTTTGGTTATACATGATAGTAGAATGTACTGTGACATACAATACATACATGGAGTATAACTTCCCATTCTTGTGGTTATACACAGTTTCTTTTGTCCTCATTTTTAACCATGGGGGTGTTCCCTCACTGTCTTGATGCTCAGCCAACCTGCTGTGGACCCTGCTAACATCCTAGTTTCAGGGTCCATAGTAAATAAAGGCCAAGTTAGGCCAGCCCTGCCCAAATCTTCCCTCCCCCACAATCATGGTATGTGTGGGCATTTTGAGAGGGACCTCACTGTGGGCTCTCCAGTAGGTGAGGAAGGAGATTTTTGTTTGTTTTTTACAGTATTGGAGATTGAACCTACCAATGAACTACTTCCCCAGCCCTATTTATCTGTTTTTTATTTTGAGACAGGGTCTTCCTAAGTTATCCAGGCTGGCCTCTTGCCTCAGCCTCTCAAGCTGCTGAAATTATAGATGTGCACCTCTATGTCCAGCAATAAATTATTTAACCCAGCATATTCCTGAACAGAACAAGTCTGAGTGCTGTGTGGTGTTTCCTTTTCTCCCTTCCTCCCTCAAACATCCTAGACACGTATTCTGCATCATGTGCTAGAGAGAAAAGGTGTAAGAATGGCATATGCCTGTGATCCCACTATTCAGGGATCACAGGCTGAGGCAGGAGGATATAAGTTCAAGGCCAGGCTGGGCAATTTAGCAAGACCCTGTCTCAAAAACAAAACAAAACAGAACAAAAGAAAACAACAACAAAAAACAAAGAGCCAAGTGTGGTGGTGCATGCCTGTAATCCCAGCGGCTTGGTAGGCTGAGGGACGAGGATCATGAGTTCAAAGCCAGCTTCAGCAACTTAGTGAGGCACTAAGCAACTCAGTGAAACCCTGTCTGTAAATAAAAAAATACAAAATTGAGCTGGGGATGTGGTTCAGTGGTTGAGTGTCCCTGAGTTCAATCCCTAGTATTAAAAATAAAAAAGGGCTGGAGATGTAGCTCAGTGGTAGAGTGTTTGCCTACCACGGGTGAGGCCCTGGGTTCAATCTCAATACCAAACAAACAAAAAACCCTCACAGAATAATAAAGGGCATATGACAGACTCTGGCTACAAAGAGCTCCCAGCATAATGTAGAAGTAGGTAGAAAAAGTGAAACAAGGTGGTTGCTATGGTGATGCAGAATACAAGAGTGGAAGCTACTCCTTAGATCAGATGCTGTGCCTGAGGTCAAAAAGAGATCATAGCCCTTCAGATGAGCCACTGCCACCTCCATGATTTGCAGATCCTTCCACTGGGATCACATCCAGAAGAGGTTCTGGCTTTAAGAAATTTATATCATGAGACATAAAACAAGTTGGGGGAATAAGTGGAGCAAACCACAGAACCAATGTCAAACAAAACACAAACATGACTCCAAGTTCCCTAAGAAAACACTAAGGGGCCGAGTATGTGGCTCACATCCTAACAAGTGCAGGGCCCTGGGTTCATCCCCAGCACTGAAACACAAAACAACACGGTAAGAGCAGAGGCATTAAGGAAGGGATTTTGAAAGGTGATGTGATGGTGCTGGGGATGGAACCCAGGGCTTCATATATGACAGGCAAATTCTCTACCACATAGCTGCATGCTGGTCCCAAAGGGTGATGTCCCACTGGGCATGGAGGGAGTTAAGTAGAGGATAGAAAAGATTCTTCCTACAGACTCGGAATGGAAATCAGGGTTTCAAGGGCCCTCATGCCCTTAGACTCTCAGCAAAACTCTTTCTTAAAAAGATTACTAGTGACCCAGCAATGCAAATGAGACATTTAAAAGAACTGAAAGGTTAGGTTCACAAAACAGATTGTAGTTACATGTGTATAGGTACTTTATTCTTATATGCTATAAATAGGAACACTCAAAAATCCCTTAATGGCAGAATGGATGAACAGYTCCATCCATATATCCATAACATGGAATGCTGCTGGGCAGTAAAAAGAATGAACTACGGATACATGCAACAACATGGGTGACTCTCCAATACATTCAGTAAAAAACACCAGATTGAAATGGCTCCACAGGATGAGATTCTGGGAATGGTGAAGCCATGCAACAGAAAACAAAGCAGGGTATGCAGAGTTAGGGCTTCCCATTTGGGCATGGAGAGCTGTGGGTGCTGAGGCAGGTCGTATGCTTGATTGTGGTGACTGCACACCATGTGACTCTGAAACCCACAGAGCTGTATGCTAAAGAGTGAATCTTATTGTATGTAATCTGTTGGCCATTGGGGTTGGGGTGTAGCTCAGTGGTAGGTCACTTGCCTATATGCACAAGGCCCTGGGCTCTATCCCTAGCACTTCAAAACAAGCAAACAAAGAAAAACAAAAATAACAACAAGCCTGGTTGTTTCTTGGTGTGTCTTAACTGCAGTTATTTCCTCTCCTATTTTCTTCGAGCATTGTGAGGATTTTCTTTCCTTTTTGCAGCTCTTGAGAATGGGGCTTCATGGCAGCCTGGCCTCATTGGCCCCAAGGCCTCTGCTCAATTGCAGATCTCAGAACTGAAAGCACATCAATCTTCACTCCACAAATGCCGAAACTGGGCTCCAAGGGAGGAAGGACACCCTGCCTGCAGGCTGGTAAGGGAAGGCTCACCCTGCCCAGTGGTACTGGGACTGGGTATTCCCAATAACAAGCTGAGCTCAGGCAGGAAGGAGACACAAGGTAGTGACACCTTGGGGCTGGARCCAGTGGCTCATTATTGGTGCTCCCCCTCCTCTCAGTGTCTGAAGGTGGTGTGACAGGGGTCACCCTGAGCACAACAATAACCTCTATACAACAGTATTTTCCAGATTGAATTCTCTCATGTTTACTTTCAAATTTAATGACTTCAATAGTCATCCACCTGTTTATTTTGATTTGCTGGTAATATGTAAACCCTCTTATTTAACTTTCATTTTGCTAGCCTATCCAACGTAAAATGAACAATTGCTAAACTGTTTCCTAATTTTATAACTTAAAAATGTCTCTCTTGGAAAATCTTTTTAATTTGAATAAAATATCTTTCAGAGCCATCATTTAGAGGGGGCTTCTCTCCAACATGAGCTACCTGGTGTTGAGTAAGGGCTGAACCCCCGCTGACAGCCTTTCCACATTCTTGACATTTATATGGTTTCTCCCCAGCGTGGCGGCTTCTCTGGCACTCAATGGGTTGTGGGGTAGGGCTGAAAGTCTTCCCACATTCACTGCACCCCAGGGATTTCTCACCAGTGTGGATTGTCCAGTGCAGAATGAGGTCTGCACCATGGCTGAAGGCTCTGCCACGTCGCTCTCCAGTGGGCATCAGGCTGGGGCCACCCTTTCTACGCTGGCGAGGATTATCTCCCGTGTGAATGTGCTGATGCTGTGTGAGGGTTGACCTCCGGCTAAAGGCCTTTCCACAGGCCCGGCACTCATAGGGCTTCTCGCCAGTGTGGACACGCTGGTGCAGGGTGAGTTGGGAGCTCTGGCTGAAGGCTTTCCCACACTCAGAGCACTGATATGGCTTCTCCCCTGTGTGCACTCTGCGATGCTGCACGAGAGTGGAACTCCGGCTGAAGGCCCTGCCACACTCACCACACACATAAGGCTTCTCTCCAGTGTGAATCCGTGTGTGTTCAGTAAGGTGAGAATTGAAACCAAAGGCCCGGCCACACTCCTGGCACACGTAGGGCTTTTCTCCAGTGTGGACCCTATGATGGAGGAAAAGGCTGGAGCTCTGGCTGAAGGCCTTGCCACACTGACTGCACTTGTGGGGCTTCTCCCCAGTGTGAATTCTCTGATGCTGAATGAGGCTGGAGCTCCGGCTGAAGGCCTTGCCACACTGACTGCACTTGTGCGGCTTCTCCCCAGTGTGGATCCTCTGGTGCTGAGTTAACTGGGGGCTCTGGCTAAAGGCCTTGCCACATTCCTCACACTTGTGAGGCTTCTCTCCTGTGTGAATGACGCGATGCTGAATGAGGCTGGAGCTTCGACTGAAGGCTTTCCCACATTCACTGCACCCAAAGGGTCTTTCTCCAGTGTGAATTCTCCGATGCAGAATGAGGTAGGAATTGAGCCCAAAAGTCTTCCCACAATCTTCACATTTAAATGGTTTGCTGCCAGTGTGGACTCGGCGGTGCAGGATGAGGCTCGCGCTGTGTGTGAAGGCTCGCCCACACCAACTGCACTCATAGGGCTTTTCCCCTGTGTGGCGTCTATGATGTCGACGGAGGTCTGAATTATATTTGAAGGTTTTGCTGCATATATCACATTTAAAGACTCTCTCTCCTGTTTTATTCCTTTGAAGTCTAACAACATTTTGGTTTGTATTTAAATGTCTATCAACATTTAAAGAACACTCCTGGACACTCTCTCTTGGAGGCTGCTCCCTACACAGGACAGATTCCTCTCTAAAAACTCTCTTGTGCAGATGGGGTTTCTTCAGACTCTGGCCAGCAGTGTTTCCCAGGCTCCCTTCTCCCTTCCCCTCCAGGTCCCAAGGATCCTGGAACATAGGTGTCTGTGAATTGGCCCTTGAGAATCTTCTTGATACAAATGCTGGGCTCTTCACATCTTCAGAACACTCCTGGTTTAGAATGGACAGTTCCTTCTCAATCCCAGTATCAGAATCTGTTACACAAAACATAAAGGAATTACTAGAGGACACCACTGTTCAGCAACACTCTTACACAGATCCTTACTTGGAAGGCAGATGTTCCAGTAGCAGATGTGCTATGCATGACTCAGGAGCAAGAGGCAAAATGGCCAGTCACAGGATGAAAGCTCAGTCCACCAGGTACCACAAGAGGGAAACTCAAACAAATTATGATTTTTCACCTATCAAACTAGCAAATGAATCTGCTAACAGGCTGCTCCAGGTAAGGAACACAATAGGAAGCCAGAGAGCCTCCGGTCTCACTGTATATTGAGGAAGAAAATCAAATACTTTTTTTTTGTTTTTTTTTAAGAATGAAATAACACAGAGGCTGGGATTGTGGCTCAGCGGTAGAGCGCTCGCCTAGCACTTGCGAGGCTCTGGGTTCGGTCCTCAGCACCACATAAAAATAAATAAAATAAAGGCATTTTGTTCAACTACAACTAAAAACATAATAATATTAAAAAATGAAATAACATGGRTAATGGAAACTATTGAAAATACAGAACCATCTCTTGCAGCCTATGTGGTCGGAAGATCCCAGGAGCATGCGTGGCCTCAGAGGGAGCAAGAGCCAATGGGTCAGCAGTTGCAGAAGGCAGGCCTGGGTGAGATGGAGAGCCACCAAGTCCAGGAATGCAAGGAGCCTGCCACGGCTAGAGCAAGAAGCGGGTGGAGGTTCCTGTGCTGCGTTGATTCCCACACAGAGAATTAAAAGAATAATTCCTGTCCTGTACTGTGGGATGGACTATAAATAAATAGAGCTTTTTAAAGGGAAAGTTGGTAATACATAGCAAAAGAATTAATATTACACATCCTTTGTTCCCAAAATTGCTCTTCAAGAGTCTATGCTAAGTCAACAGTCATTTGCACAAAGAAATGATTATTATGACCATCCCTGAAATGTTCTCCTTAATTATGGGGAAACAAGAAAGAATCCAAATATTCAAAAAACAGAGGACAGGGCTGGGTGTGGCACAGTGATAGAGCACTTGCCTGGCATGCAGGAGGCCCTAGATTTATCTCCAGCACTGCAAAAAAAGAAAGAAAGAAAGAAAGAAAGAAAGAAAGAAAGAAAGAAAGAGAGTTGTTTAAGTCAGCGATAGACAAGTCAATAATGGAATACCTTTCTGACATTATAATTATATAACAGAAGAATATATAGTTAAAGGAAAAGTCTATGACATAAACTGAAAAATCAGTTTATAAAATAATACACTCAGCATAAACCAACTTTAACTGAAAATACATATGGAAGATAAGTGCTATTTCTTCCTTAAATGTGTGGTATAAGCTGGCAAAACCATTTGGGCTTGGCATTTTCTCTGAGATAGGAATTTTATTTACTGAACCAATTTCTTTAATACTTAAAAGATCATGTATTAATGCTTTCTTTTTAATTTTTTTTTTATTTTTTAGGTGTAGATGGACACCACACAATGCCTTTATTTTTATGTGGTGCTGAGGATCAAACCAGGCCCCGCCGTGCTAGGCGAGCACTGTACCGATAAGCCACAATCCCAGTCCCTATTTTTTTAAAGAGAGAGTGAGAGAGGAGAGAGAGAAAGAGAGAGAGAGAGAGAGAGAGAGAGAGAGAGAGAGAGAGAGAGAGAGAGAGAATTTTTAATATTTATTTTTTATTTTTTGGCGGACACAACATCTTTCTTTGTATGTGGTGCTGAGGATCGAACCGGGATACACGCATGCCAGGCGAGTGCGCTACTGCTTGAGCCACATCCCCAGCCCTGTATTAATGCTTTCTTGTGTCAACCTTGACAAACTGTGTTTTCTGGGCAAATTGTGTTTTATCTCCATATTAAAACTTCTTGGCATAAATGTGTTCAGATGCCTTTTTATTACAGCCTATGGATCTGTATTGTGGCCCCTTTTTATTTTGGTCATCTGTCCCTTCTTTTGTTCTTGATCAGTTATGACCAGAAAATCATAATACACTGCTATTGAGTGAAATAAAGACCTGGGCAAGAGAATAGATATGGTATACTTATGGGCTAGAATATTCAGATTACAAAGATATCCACTTCTCTTGAAACTGATTCAATGCAACCTCAATCAAACTCCCAATTTTCTCATTTCACAAAGTGATTCTAAAAGTAAATGCCAAGGGTCCATCACTGAGGCAGACAGTGAGGTGGGAACACTCTTGCTGTTGGATATCAAGACTTATAACTTTTTGTTATCATTGTTGTCTGCAACACTGGGGTAAAAGGCAGGGCCTCCTATATGCTAGGCAGGTGCTCTACCATATCACCCTCCCAAGGCTTAAAAATCTACCATGTTGCAGATTGCAAGTAAAGACAAATAGAGAACGGGAGAGAAAATTTCTAGATGTGGGTTTTTGCACACATGCATGTGGCTTATGTATGTACCTGAGAAGGTATCTACTCTTCTCACTTCAAGGAGCAGGAGTCTTTCCATCTCCTTCCGAGCACCAGCGGGCAGATCAAGGTCTTGGGTTCCTCCCGCTGGCTGGACTATGCTGAGGGCCCACTTTCTCCCACAGAGGACCAATTTGGCTAGCTGGAGTTGGAACCTACACGTTTATCCACTTTAAGCCAAACTTCTCTCTTCTTAAAATAGCTAGTAGCTAGCTACCTTCTTTCTTTACCTTCTTTTTTTTCCCTTCCTTCCTTCTGTTCTGGGGATGGAATCCAGGGCCTCACACATATAGGCAAGTGTTCTGCCTCACCCCTTTTTAAAATTTTTTGAAAGATATGTGTGTGTGTGCGTGTGCGCCCACAAGTGCACTGAAGATTGAAACCAGGATTGCTCTACCACCAAGCTACATCCCCAGCCATTTTTCATTTTTGAGATACCAAGTTGCTAAGCTGCCCAGGATGACCTTGAATTAGTGATCCTTCAGTTTCAGTCTCCTGAGAGTAATTACTGAGATTACAAGTGTGCGCCACCACACTCCTTAGACTTGAAGTTTTTTTTTTTTTAAATAAAATAATAGGATACATACAGCATGAGAAAATTTATACTTCTCTGTTTGGAAATCTCATTACTTAAAATACTATATTAAAATAAAGAAACTCTCTTGGAAATCTAAGTATACTTAAAAATKATTGCTTTTTTCCCCAAATCCAAGCTAATGGCATTGTTACTAGGTACATATATATGAAAAACAGATATAGTACATTTTAATCTATAAGAATCAGACTGGATTTTTTTTTTTAAGGTACCAGGGATTGAACCCTAAGTCCATTAACCACTGAGCCACATCTACGGCCCGTTTAATTTATTTTTTATTTGAAACAGGGTCTCACTAAGTTGCTTAGGCCTCACTAAATTGCTGAGGCTGGCTTTGAACTTGTGATTCTCTTGCCTCAGCCTCTGGAACAGCTGGGATTACAGGTGTGCATAACTAAACCCAGCAAAATTGTGTATATTTCTTAAACTGGGTTTAATAATAAAGCAACTCCTATCTAAATAGGGGTTCAGTGCATTAACATGAACTGTGAACATGAGCCATTACTAAAATGTGATAAAATAGTTTTTAAAAAAAAATGTACCCTTAAGCCAGCACAGTAGTGCATGCCTGTAATCCAGCGGTTTAGGAGGCTGAGACAGGAGAATCACAAATTCAAAGCCAGCCTCAGCAACAACGAGGTGCTTAACAGCTCAATAAGACCCTAAATAAAATACAAAATAGGGCTGTGGATGTGGCTCAGTGGTCAAGTGCCCCTGAGTTAAATCCCGGTTACGGCCCCCCAACCAAAATGTACTATTATAGAGGAATCCAAACAATATTGCAAAATAACTGTAGACATAAACTTTGTCTATATCATCTTTTTGAGGGCAACTTGAAGGTTGATGTTATTAAAAAAWWTTTTTTTTTCAGCACTGAGGATTGACTCCAGGGGTGCTTTACCACTGACTACATTTTCAGCCCTTTTTATTTTGAGACAGGCTCTTGCTAAATGCCCAGGCTGGCCTCAAATCCAGTCCTCCTGCCCCTGACTCCTGAACCGCAGGGATTAGGGGTATCCATTACTGCAAAAGGCTTCCAAATATTTATGTATGTATGTATGTATGTATGTATGTGTGTACGCACACATATATGTATGTGTGTGTGTGTAATATATATATATATATATATTTTTTTTTTTTTTGGTGTTGCTGGGGATTGGACCCAGGGCACTGTGCATGCAAGCGAAGCACTCTACCAACTGAGTTATATCCCCAGCCCCCAAATGATTTTTAATGTATATTATAGCTAGGATCTGGAATGCCCACCAAAGGCCCATGTTGAAGTTATCCCCCAGCTGGTGGTGCTATTGGCAGGGAGTAGAACCCTTATGCAGAGGGACCTGGTGGGAGACGGCAAGGGCTTTGGGGACCTGGCCCTTCCTCTCTTTGTGTCCCAGCTGCCACAACTGCTCAAGCCTTCTCTGCCACATACTCCTGCCGTAATGTGCTGTGCTGCCATAGGCCARGGCAGCAGGGTCAGATAATGGTGAGTCAATAAATCTTTCCTCCRTTTAAGTTGATTTTGTCATAGAGACATAATGCTAACACAACTTCTCACTGTATCTTGCTACCAATGAAGGTTTGTTTTTTGTCATTCTTAAATGATTCAAGGGTCTTCAGGTTATTTCAAAATAGATAATATTTATGCTCCTATTTATGTAAAGGCTTTAAAAATTAGAGCTGATGGGCTGAGGTTGTGGCTCAGCGGTAGAGCACTTGCCTCACATGTGTGAGGCACTGGGTTCAGTTTTCAGCACGGGACATAAATATGAATAAAATAAAGGTCCATCAACAACCAAAAATTTTTTTAAAAAATTAAAGCTCATCTCTAAAGTTCCTTGTTATGAATATTAATTAGAATAACTACATGCCCTGTTCCCTGAAGGTGAGGCAATTACTCCTCAAACCGTACCAGTCCTCATCATGCTCCTGGGAAGATGGAAACCAATGAAAACCATCTTTTCCCTTCTAAGACCTCACTCAC